TTTTTTTTTTTTTTTTGTTTGTTTTTTTGTTTTTGTTTTTTTTTTTTTTTGTAAGCAGTTTGGCCCTTGGCACTCAGAACAAGACTGCTTATGAATCCACAGTGTAGCCGGTGATTGGGGACGAACTGAGGAACATCTAATGCATTGGCAAATACCTGACAGAACTTGAGAAGTTATTTGGGCTATGCTTTGAGAGTATGATCCACCGTCACGGGGGAAGGGGGTGGGCATGGCGGCCCAGCAGTGAGATGGATGGTCGTATTGTGTGCACAGTGCTAGTGGCTCAGCTTGCTTCCTCCTTTCTGTCCATTTCAGGCCCCTGGGCATAGAACGGTACCAGCCACCTTCAGGATGGCTCTCCCTGCCTCAGCCCACTCTATAGAATTCCTGAAGGGCACGCCCTGCGGCTTGCCTCAGAAGTGATCCAAGCTCCTGTTAGGCTAACACCATTGGCCACCACACCCTCCAGAGCCCCTTACCTGCCAGGAAGGTTCTCTCAGCAGCCAGCTGAGTGGGGGAGCTGCTGAGCTCACAGGGCGATGAGCCCATGTCTGGAGCCAGCACCAGTCCACTTGGTATCTTTTCAGGGACCTCCTACGTGCAGGGCATTCTCTCTCGAGGACTCGGGCCCTGAAAGAAATGTGAGCCACTTGTTTATCCTTCAGCGTGGTGTTGTTGTGGGTCCTTTGGTGTCCACTGCTCTGTGTCCCCGTGTTTTATAAGTGCCGACAGAGGCAGGACCGTCTGTCACAGGCCAGTTCCTCCAAGCTCAGGAACATGTCCTCTAGTGTCTCTTACTCTGAAAAGGCAGCAAGAGGATCTCAGTCAGGAGACTAGGTTGACTGTAGAGGTGGATCCATAGGAGAAAAGTACCGTTTGTTTAGCCCTAGATGCTCATGGGTTTCTGCAAGGCTAACATGTACCTGAAGGTAAGGGAGACCCACGGGTCACATCTGTCTATCAAGTCACAGCTTTAACATCTGAGCATTCATGCATTCTTTCCACTGTCCCCTTAGCTGCTCTGACGTACAAATGCACACGGGACCAGTGGACGGTTTACTGCCGGGTCATCCGAGAGAAGAACCTGTGCCAGGATATGCGATGGTACCAGCGCTGCTGCCAGACGTGTAGGGACTTCTACGCAAATAAGATGCGCCAGCCGCTTTCTCCACCAAGTTCATGACGTACAGCGCAATGCTTGCTCAGTGCTCTGACTCAAGGCCTGAGGCCTGGCAGTTAGTAAGTGGAGCGCCCTCACCCTACCCTGCACACCAGCCCTGCAGCCAGGACCCCCAAAATACTCCTCTGCTCCCGCAATAAGGCTGCCTCAAGAATCCAGTTGCATAGGGCTAGAGAGGGCACTTGCCATTGCCATTAGTCCCTTGAACGTAATATATTGCTAACAGCCACTGGATGGCTTTCTAAGGAAAAAACTACACCAGTGTCACAAAATAATTTTAATTTCCAAGCTCTAATGTACCTCAAAGGGGGACACACCTCTGGCAGATTATAATTATGAGAGAGAGAGAGCAAGAGAGAAAGAGAGAGAGAACATTTAGTGCTTCTGTCCTGGCTTTCTGTTGACATTTGAATTCCTCGGGTTTGATGTAGCTTTGCAGAAGTGAGATAGAACATGAAAAGAGGCTCCATCCTGAAGGTCAGCAATGCCCTGGTTGACCAGCCTCTGCTAATGGCTTCTCGAGAAGAGAGCTGAGCTGCCTTCCTACAAACACAAGAGTCAAGACATGGCCTCTGCCGATCTCAAAAACATAGTCTCAAAATCCTGGGCCTTGCCTTAGAAATCTTGCCCCTGAGAGTTCAAACCTGCACAAACCAACAAAAAATAGTGGTGCAACATAGCTCTGCATACCACCTGTGTGGGAGAACATTCCAGAAGAGCTGGATTTGGGAAGGCATCTGCTTTTCAGAGCTAAGCTATGTACCCCGCAGGAAAACAGGGGGCCTTTCTTCAAGGTGCTATGAAATGGGACATGCTTGCCTGAGGTGCATGAGGTTACTCCCCGACATAAAGGTGCCCTCAGCTTCCTCAAGGGTGTACCAGCTCCCACTCTGCCTCCGGGTGCCTCCAGCCAGGCTTTACACCTTAGATACCTGCCACATCTTGGCAAGTAGCTTTCCCTTGCCATTGGCCTTACCTCTGAAGTTAGGGTGATGTTCAAGCCATCTGAGGACCCATCAGTCAGTCAGTCCTGGGTTCTGCAGCATAAGGCTTGACTTGAATATCTGGGGCCAAGAATGGTGTGCCAGGACTTGTGGGGGAAACGCTGCCCGGCTGAAATCACATCCATCAAGTCATTTCCTAACCAAGGTCTCATGGTTGGTACCTTCATTGTTCACAGCCATATCCCTGACCCCTCCGGATGTGGCATGGAAAGATGGCGAAGGTCTTCTCTTCCACCCCCATGCCTTCACCCTCACCACAGAACTTTTCCATCTCCAGGAGGCCACAGTGACCTCTCCACGAGCAGCCCAGCTGATAGACTCCTGGCTGCCCTGGGAGGCTGGCTTTACTCCACAGCTGGGTGGATTTTCCTGGGTGCTTATGTTCTGAACCTCCTTGAGAGGCCCGTCTTCTCCTGGTGTCAACGGAAGCTCTCACTTGGGCCAGTTTCCATGGGATCATCTCCAAATGCTTCTTGATTGATTGGTGCTGTTTCTATTTGAGTTTGGGTTTCGTTCTGTTTTAATTTTTACTAGCCCGTCACAGAGGCGTGGTAAGGGTGGCAGGGAATTTATTTGGCTCCACTTGAACTGAAAAGGAGTGTTAAGAAAACTCCTTAGGTGCTCCAAGAGAATGTCAGGATGAAGTAACCTACTACTTATCACCCCAGCGCTGTGTTGAACACGCCCCCCCACACACACACCACCCCAGCTCAGGACTGGTCACCAGCAGACTCCCCAAAGCTGCTTCTAAAACCCACAAATTCCACGGAGCTCTTCAGTGGTAGAGGGAAAGGTGCTGTCAATTTTCCCTCAGCCCAACAGCTTCTGTTAATCTACCCAAAGACATTCATATTTTGGAGCTAGAAAGCAGTGAGTGTGTCAGCGTAGCCAGCTCAGAAGGCCACATAGTCGTCCTTGTGCGTTTACAGATGCCCACCCCGGCAGAGCATGTGCGAGCAGATCCCCAGCGGTGGGCACTCTCCCTCATGCCTCTGATGCCCAGCCCTCTGCCATCTGTCTACTACCTGAAGGAGCCCCACACCATTCATGTTAACCTGGTCATGAGCATGCGCTTTCTGAGCAAATGCTGGCATTGTCCCTTTGAACTCCACCAGGACACTTTCATTCTGCTTTGGGATCACAATGGTGACGTTTCCGTGTTAAACCCACACGGTCACCCAAGTACTGTATACCCTTGTGGTTACACAGATGTGTCATTAGCGTCACGCAATCTTATGGTGCTATTCCTACTCGCAGTTGATGTGGCTTTATTACATCCGAACACAGAAAAAGAGCCTTGGTAGCAACCTCGCCTTGGCGACTTTTTTCATTTTAACGTCAGATGTATATATTTCTCACTAGTTAACTTACACTCAGTACTGTATCTGTGGGTTCTGTTGTGTGTCGTTTTACTTTTGGGTGCTGGTTATGAAAGAATACAAAAGAAGAGATGACAAACATCAGATGCCCTTAGTCATGAAAATTTCACCATTTCATTGGAAGCAAATTGAACATGTGTAATAAAACGGTTTTTTCCCCCATAACAGTTTTAAGTTCTCTCAATGGAAAGTCAAAGACAAAAGCCAGGCCTCGGTGGCTGGTGGAGGGGGCAGTAGCCTGGTGCCCCTGAGACATGGTTGTGGAAAAACTGTGGCCAGTCTCGAGTCACTAGTAAATGCAATGCTGGTGGAGGCCTGTGTCTCCCCAGGGGGATGCTAATAAATTCTTCAGTCCCTGGCCTCCTCCCTGCCTGGGGATGCCAAGGTCTGGCAGTGCCAGTGAGGAACAGCTACCTTACTAGTCTGCTGGAGTGAATGACGGCACTGTAGACCTCCCTAGAGCACAAATGCTAGCCATGCCATACACGCTCACTTCCACTAATCACCTACCTCCTGCCCAGAACTCTGCCAGTCCTACCGGCAGGCGTGAGGGCGGGGGACACAGCCAGTGCATTGCATCTTCGCAACTGGGAGGACCATGTGGGGCCCATCTGGGCCTGCTTAGAGCAAGGCTGTCACATCTAGAGAGGGACATTCCATCTCAATGGGGAGAAAGAAACTGCCCCACCCCCCATTAAGCTTGGAAAAACATCCAAAATTTGAACCAAATAAAGACAATTTGCTTACCAAAAAAAAAAACTTTCAGAGTCCCCAGCTGTCACAATTTTCATTGCCTGAGGCGGGTTAACTTTATAAAGAAAGGGAAGAGGCTACATCTGATGGTGCCTTTCCTGCTGGCAAACTTCCAAGGCAGTCCAGAACTTCACCTGGGGAGACAGGAAGTAAGCGTGTGTGTTTCCTCTGGCCTTGTTCCCTCTTCTTATGAACCTGCTGAGATACAGTGATGGTGGCCCTGCCTCATGACCTTGTCTAATCCTGATCACCTCCCAAAGGGCCTAACGCCAGAGCTCCACAGTCAGATTAAGTTCCTACACTCTCAAAGCCATTACCTCGGACTTATAAATTAGACTGACTTCTGCATGAGTTCAAGGACCAACCGTTTTTGTTGTTGTTGTTGTTTTGTTTTTGTTTTTTTTACACCCGAGCTCCAGAAAATTTGTAGTTAAGCATTCACAGTCGGGACCATCCCTCACCTGCCTCTAGTACTTGAGAAAACTTCTTCCCTGGAGCCTTCTAGTGGGGGGAGGGAGGCAAACATTTAAACAAGTGATTTATTTAAAACACTGGGTAGCCTCAGTGTTTTTGGCTTGTTAAATGAAACGGATATGGTTCCGCCATTGGTGAGTATTTACTGGAACAGCTCAGAACACAGAAGAGCAGAAGGCCTCCTGGGGCTCCACTGTCCTGCTGTGCAGACCAGCCTAGAGACCACACAGCAGGAAATGTACAAGCTACAGGAACTTCAAGGAAGGAGTCGGGACCATGAGGAGCTTGTTGATTGATCTTTCAGACACTGACTACCTGGAAAGCAGTGCTCACTCCCCCCCCCCCAACCATTCTGAAAAAGACCCCAGCAAAAGCCCTCTTTTTCCCCCAACTAGGCACAAATTTGACTGCATCTGTGTCCTACTTCAGTCTGAGACCAAAGCAGTTCTCTGTGTCCTCCCTGCCACCTCCACCCTGATTTTCACGCCCAGTTCTGTCCTCACACTGGTTTTGATGGGTCACCAATGACTTTCCAGTGTCAGGTGCTTAGACTACTAAAGACCTCTCCAGCTCTCAATAGCCATGTCCTTTGACTCACCCCTCCCCACCAGCTTCTGTAGCACCCCATTCCTGACTTTCCCATTAGCTGTCTAGGTAATGGAGCAGCTTAGGCCCAGCCCTATGCCTGCCCTTCACAAAGATCCAAGGCTTTAAAAACATATGGCATCTCTCCCAGAGGAGCATCCTTAGTCCTGAAAACTCCTGAACTCAACACACAACTCCCCAAAGATGCAGTTAGGCTCACAGGAAGCTCCAGGTCTGGGGTATGCTGGGCCCTGAAGAAAGAAGAAATTCACTCCGTCCTCCCTGTTGTAACAAGGCCTTCCAATGGTTGGAGGGCACCCAGCCACAATATGTTCTACCAGCCAGCTAGGCCAGGTAAAGTGATACACAAAATCAATCATCGCACGTGTGACATGTGAAACTACTCACTGGTGTCCTGCCCCTGGAGTCTCATCTACTCTCAGCCTCTGGTTCAGACTCTAGCTCCAAGATCGGATCATGTCACACACATACAGCGGTAGCTCTTCCAGGGTGATCCCACGTACAAGCCTTATGCAGTGCCTCTGCATTTGTGAATCCCCAAGAGAAAATGGTGAGGCAGGCCAAGGGGCACCAGCAGGGAAAGAGAAGCGCTCCACAGTCACTCTGGGCACACTCCACTAGGCTTAGTCCTGCTGCCAAAGGGGCGATTCTCCACGGCCTGGCCTAGTACCCAAAGGTCTCCACCTGGACATTGGACCAGGCCCTTCCTTGTTCTTGCTGGGCAAGCGCTCTACCACTGGGCTACATCTCCAGCCCAAAGATCTTCCTTTTAAAGCTTCAGGACAGGCTGCCCTTGAACTCACTCTAGCCCAGGCAGAGTTTGAACCTGTAATCCACCCCTTCCGCCTCGGCCTCCTGAGGAGCTGTGGTTACAGAAGCCAGTGCCACCACATTTTGCTTTGTCATTCGTTCTTGACAGCCCGAGCGGGACGCAGCTGGTGTGGCACTCTATCCCAAAGTGTCCTGGGTCTCTTTTCTACTGCCGTGAGCGCTGTCTGGCTCAGCCTGGCTTCCTCTCTGCTCCTCAGGGTGCATGTTTCTTACTGTAGCACCCCTGTTCCCCCATAGAGCTGCTGCTACTTGCCCGTCTGGTCTGGTTGTCTTCCCGTTCTGGATGCGGCACATCGGGTATGACTCTGCAGAGGCTCTGTGTAATGTCGGCTCCTTCAGAACAGAATGAGAAAGCTGAACACCGGCCCCAAAAAGAGCACTCCTGTACACTCTTATCAAGCACTCCTGGGTGTGAACCGTTTTGCTCTGATAGAGATGGAAGTGTGCACAGTCATTGGCCAGTCTCCTTGTATCTGAACCACCTTGATGGAGCTCTAACAAAGATGGCAGAGCCATTTACCAGGGACTAATTCTTGGTCAAAAATGTGGGAGTCCAGGGCGCGTGCAAGGGCTTGGAGGGCAAAGGCACTTACTGCTAAGACTGGGATGCTGAGTTCCATCCTGATACACACCTGGCAGACACAGAGAACTGACTCTCACAAGTTGTCTTCTGATGTCCACATGACATAACATGTGTGTTGCTATGTTGTGACATGTCCATGCACACATACTTCACATACACACGACTAAAGATAATTTTACAATTTGTGAAAGTCCACTGTGACCAGACAGGATTTAAAAGTTTTTAGGGCCAAATCATCCATTGCATGGGAATGTGTTGAAGATTCCATGCCCTGCTTCATTCTTTATATCTTTAAGCAACCATTCTTAGGGCCAGCACAGATAGCTCAGTGGGAGGGTACATGCTTAGCATGTACAAAGCACTACAGTCTATCCTCAGTTCCAAAATAAATATCATCAACTGACCTTCTTTACTAGGTTATACCTCACAATTTACTCTTGTGCCTAGGGATGAA